GATATATCGGTCAACACCTTCTGGTACCTAATCTGCCAAGCGTCAAAATTTTAAACATCCATGTAGCTTATAAACGCGAAATTAACATTAGATTCCATTCGGACTTGGCGCATCCCAATATTTCTATCAACACAAGATCTGTAGTAAATATGGTGGAGATCGGACCTCTCCACAAGTAGTCAAAGTTTTGAATAATTAAAACGATCATAAACTCCGAAATATGCATCCGGTTTCTTTCAAATTTCACACATCCCATAATTTCTGATAACACAAGATCTGCTACGAAAATGGGATATATCGGTCAACTCCTTCTGGTACCTCTCTCACAAAGGCTAAAAATTTTGAATATCCATGGAGCTCACAAAACCCGAAATTAACATCCGATTCCGATCAGACTTGGTACATCTTAATATTTACATCAACCCAACATCCGCTATAATATGGTAGAGGTCGGACTATTTCTTCTGGTACCTCCTCCACAAAGGGTCAAAGTTTTCAATAACAAAACGATCATAAACTCCGAAATATGCATCTCGTTCCTTTCATATTTCACACATCCCATTATTTCAGCTAACACAAGATCTGATATGAAAATGGGATGTATCGGTCGACTCCTACTGGTAACTCCCCCACAATTTGTCAAAATTTTGAATATCCATGAAGCTGGCGATCTCAATATTTCTATCAACTCTAGATCTATTGTAAATACTGTAGAGATCAGACCATTCCTTCTCGAACCTGCCCCAGAAAGGGTCAAAGTTGTGAATAACCAATACAATCATAAAATCCGAAATAAGCATATCTTCATATTTCACATATCCCATAATTTCTACCTACACAAGATCTGCTGTGAAGATGGGATATGTCGGTCCACTCCTTCTGGTACCTCTCCCTCAAAGGGTCAAAATGTTGAATATACATGAAGCTCATAAAATGCGAAATTGACATCCGATTCCATTCGGACATGGTGCATTTCAATATTTTCATCAACAAAAGATCTCTTATTAAGATGGTAGAGATCGGATCATTTCTTCTGGTATCTCCACCACAAAATTTTGAATATTCATAAAGCTCATAAAACGTGAAATTAACATCCAATTTCATTCAGACTTGGTATATCTTAACATTTCAATCAACGAATCATTTGTTATAAATATGGTGGAGATCGGACCATTTCTTTTCCACAAACCGTTTAAAATATTGAGCATTAAATTCTCTTCAAATTTTACTCATACAAAAATGTTTGCCAACACAAGATCTGTTGTAAAGATTCGCTACAACTTGCCATATCTAAATATTTCTCTCAACCAAAAACCTGAGATGATTATGGAATTTATGATTTCGTATAAAATTAGATATAAATGTTCGATTTTCTTCTAATTTTGTCAATACCAATATTTGTATCTGTATTAGATGAAGTATGAAAACGGAATACTTCTGTCAATCCTTTGTTGTTATTCGATGTTCCCAAGTTCCACAGTACATAAAGTGAACAAATATGATACAGATGACAAAAACTTGGTTATGTCTCTTAACTCTTTCATTCTGACGTTTGTTCTTTATGTTGCTAGTGCACCGTATCCCACTAGCTGTCTGCTTTATACGCTGACCCACACAATACGAAACGGTGTAAATATCTGATAAGCAACCCATACTTACATACTCACCATACACATGTGTATTTGTGTAGACAGCGTTGTTGCATGACAGAAAAAAAACCAATGATGTTCGCCTCCTCTTTTGGACTCTCGTCCTAATGAGAAACTTCATTTGAAGTTCAAAATGGAAATTTCTCGTATATCAATCAATGGACTGATACTGGATTGATTTTGAATGACAACAAAGGCCCAAAAGAAGAGATATTTTCCCCAAGTTCATATGAGTGTGTGTTTGTTTGTATTTGTAGATTTCGATTTTTTCTCAAATTTCTTCGTTATTTTGGAGCGTGAAATGCAAGGGTTGTGTTGTCAGCTGTCTGCCTAATTAGCAATAGGGACTTCCATGTAATTGCCAATGTTTGTTATAACTTTCTATGTTCTCATTTTCAATCAAAGGCATAATTCGCGTATTTCAGTTTCATTTTATAATTGAGATTAACTTCTTGGTGCAAACTTGAAAATATACCTTTAAAAAATTTTGAAACTTTTGATGAAGTTAAAATAAAACAGTTTCATTTCGTATGTCTCTTTAAATGCAAATTATTGCTTAAAGTTTAAAGTATGTAAGGATGGGAGATTTTTTTAATTCCGAATCGTTTGGAAAAACCGCTGTTAAAAAATTATTCGCACAGACTAATCTCCTACACACAATTATTTAGAATTGTTACAACTTAAGGCTAATATACACATAATGCTAGTCATATGTAAAGCTACCTTTTCTACATTTATGTTAGGCATTTTATAGCATACTTTGAGGCGCTTCACACAATTTGTTATCTGGAAGGAAATATCTAATAGGGTAAGTGTGCCTAAGTTCGGCATGTCCCAGTAGTCGGCACTTTTTATTTTTAAGCCCAAATAAATGAAACTATTATAACTAAATGTATTTTGCTTACTTCAAATATATTGCCAGCTATCTTTGTGCACAATTTCGCTAAGAAAAGATGATTAATTCTAATAAAAATTAAATTTTTGTCTGTGAAGGTCCTCAACAATCCATATTCTTTAGAAAAGTACAATAAAGACGTCAAATCAATTTAACTAAACAAAAATATTATATTTTAATGAATTAATTTTTTATTATTATTATTAATTATTCTTACAAAAAATTGGTATGCCGACTGTTGGAACATGCCATACCGATAATTGGCAAGTGGTGCCGACTACTGGCAAAAAACATTGTTTTAATAAAACTACAAATTTATGAAATTTAATAAAAAGTTATTTAAACTTTATTTATTATTGCAAAATTTATACAAAATTTCGAATCTGAATAAATTAACTTTGTAATAATCGAAAAGTTCCACTCAGAATGGTTAGCAATTAAAAACGCGAAAATCCTAAAAATGCCGACTACTGGTACACTTACCCTATATGTATTTTATACCGGGTGAGATGAAAAAAAATTCAACCAACTTCAGACTGCTGTCATTTCTAAGCCACTCGTCCGACAGCTGTTAAAAGTATTCCAGTGACCGCTCATTATATTGTTTACAAGCGTACAAAAGCATTTTGGTGAGAATTTTCCAGAAAGAAGTTATTCGTGATGGAATTCAAACGTGATAGTGTGATTTCTTTATACTTGGATGGAAAACCACAAGTGGCTATCGTTAGAGCACTTCAGCATTTAAATGTGAATAAATCTTTTGGGTCTTGTATTTTCGCCCGCTACCGTGATACTGATAGCGTAGCCCGATGTCAAGGAAATGGGCGGGAGAAAACAGCAACATCAGCAGAAATGGTTCGAAAAGTAAAGAAGTGACTTGAGCGAAATCCATGTCGCAGTGGTCGAAAAATGGCTCGTTTGCTGAACATATTGCAATATTCCAATCGGCAAATATTAAAAAATGAGCTTGGGGTAAAGCATTGAAATTCCAAAAAGTGCAAGAACTTACACCGCAACAGAAAGAAAATAGACTCAAAAGAGCTAAAGAGTTGCTTCGCTTGGCCAAAAGTGGACAAATTGCCAAATTTGGTTTTCTCCGACGAGAAAACATTCGTTGTCCAGCAGTTTGTAAACAAACAAAATGATTGTGTTTACCTGCCAAAGAGGTCAGCTGAAAATGTGCACCTTCGCTTGGCCAGCAGAACTCAAGCGCTGGTACTGGTGATTGTGTGGGCCGCCATAACAGCCGATGGTCGCTCTCCGCTCGTATTAATCGCATCAGAATAAATGCTGAATATTATCGCTAAAATATTCTGGAAGATGTATTAAAGCCTTGGGCCCGCAAACATTTTGGCCCCAGACTTTAGACATTCCAACAGGACTCAGCACGCGCCACCCAGAACGGTTACAAAAGGAGGTTCCTCACTTCTTTTCCAGAGCACAATGCCCACCAAAATCTCCGGATACCAATCCGTAGGACTATTGTGTCTGGAGTATTTAGGAAAGCAAGGTTGGCACTAAAAAATACCAAAGTGTCGATTACCTCAAGCAAGCGCTTCGCCGGGAATGGGCCAAAATACCGCAGAGCAACATTCGTGCCAAAAGTGACCAATTCGAACAAATCTCAACTTATTCTAAAATTTTATGCTAATTCCGACATTATTTGCTTCCATTTGATAAAATTTTAAAAAATAAAAAATGATGGCGTTTGTCTCCGTTGTATATATAATTTTTGAGTGGATGATGAGCTATTTTGCTAAATTAGTGCTCTGTTCCAGAACCTGCAAACATTGACCATATTTTACAATTCTTCGATGTCATAAAGAGAAAATCGGTTATCGTAGTAAAAACATTTACATTCTTGCAGTTCTGGAACAGGTCATAGGTGTCGAATCCAGCTAAAAAATTGTCAATTGGAGATGCAGGGATAATAGGTATTTGACGGTATATTTGTGCATGGAAACGGTGGAAACATTGGTATCTATCGGTAGTTCATAGCGACTTCTTTGATTTCGTCGCTAACTTATCGACAAATTTTGTTAATTACGAAATTATAAGGATTTTAATTTACCGACATTCGACATGAATTAGAGTATTCCACTACTGATTTATTTTTTTATATTTTAAATACCGCGGAATTTCCCACGAAATATATATAATATTATTATTATGGAAAAATATATATTATATTTATTTTTCATATTTCTTCCCCTAATTCTATGTATTTTTCATTTGTTTAATGACAACATGACTTTTTCCTTTATTACCACAATAAACAACACGATTTCACCTTTATGCCTCTGCATGTTATCGATAACAAACTGAAACAAAACGATAGCACACATCTAAACAACTCCCACTCATCGACGACCATGACATCATACTCACCATTACTCACCACACCACACAGACAAAACAGCTGTTCAACGATTGTCAAAATATGAATTTTTAACCATTCCATCTCCTCACATTCGTATTGGGAGTGTAAAATCAGATGATTCGTTTGAACAACAAAAGACAGACGACAACAATAAACACAACAAAGCTAAAATCAAAATACAAAAATAGAGCATTAAAATTATTACATTTTTTCCATTTGTGCAAGCAAAAACAAAGTGAAATAACAACTAGTTGTCGTCTTCTTCTCTTGTTGTTATTGCATTTAGTCAGTGAGAGATAATTGTGTTCAGTGCTTAACCCAACGGTGGGTCATTCCATAACGCGGAAGTGGGGTCATTCCATGTTACAAATCAATAAAATAACTCCAAAAGTTAAACAAATGACATCCATGGAAAGTTTCTAAAGTCTTCCAAATCGTTACGCTTCAGTGTCTGAACTTTCTTCCTAAAAAAATACGAGACAAAAAAAACAAACCGGCCATCGACAATTTAATAACAACAAATGTGTGTGTGCGTCGTCTGTGTGTAAAATAGTTTCGTATTAATAATTAATGAGTTTTCTAGTAGTTTTACCATTCTCCGTTGGTCAATGGTGATTTGCAGAAAATTGGAGGGGAGTTGACCGGAGCTTCAGCATTAAATTCGAATTCGACAACATCATCCGTCAGTGGTTGTAGACAACAACGTCTGAGTTTTATTTGGTAAGTAATTGCCGGTTGGTTTGTTATTATCACATAAGTGACGTATTTGTTTAAAATGCGAATAAAATGTATGGGGTGATTGTGGCACTTATTAGAATGGGTATTTTTTGTTTGAAGATCACATACCTTTATAGAGAAACAAGACTCATTTTTTGTTAGCAGTGCCGAATATTTAGCTTTGAAGACTATTTGAAAAGAAAACGCCCTTAATAAATAAATATTTTTTTTTGGAAAATTTCGATATATCATCTAAATGTGCACCCTTATCAGAATTACCTCTTATTGGCGCTCAAGCTAATTTACGGCCTTTGATAGGTATACAATAAGTTTTAATAAATAAGTTTAAGCTGTAAACTAAATAAAAAAATCATATTTAATATGATTATATTATGTATAAACTTGGTTTTGGGACCAGCAATTTGCAACACTTTGAGCCGCATCGACCTAGCTTTGTTTGTCCGTCTATTCCTATTAATTTGTAATTTCTCTGCGGGTCATAATCCTCACGAAATTTTGCAAGATGATGATAATCGATTTGAAATTGTAATCACGCTAGAGTCAAAACGAATTAAGGTAGGTAGCCAAAATTTTGCCCACATCAGTATTTTGTGTGCAGCATGTCAAGTTCGAAGATGGGCTATATCGGTCCACGATATCGAATGGCCCCCGTGTAACGGTACCCCCCGATATTCGGTATTTTGATGATTTTAGGCATATTTTTCAATATAATTGTCTGAAATTCTATACAAGGAGTTATTTGTGGAGGAAGAGAATGGTTTATATATGTTCACGATATCCCCCATATAACGGTACCTCTCTATATTTCACCGGAATTGGGTCAAATTTCGTGAGAGAATGGTTTGGGGTTCTTAGACCAAACTTTTTTAAGGCCTATTTGAATTGCCCACATATTTAATATTGGTATTTAAAATCCTTATCCGCAAAAATTTTTGTGTGAAAATTTCCAAATTTTTTACTCAAATTCGGAATAAAGTTCCCCTATGGCAACATCTCGGAACAAATTGAAATGTTTCTTAAAAATATTATTTTCCCAAGATAGAGTCTTTGTATATGACCTATCTTCAAGATTTTCACCAATGGACAGGCATGAAACTCGGCTACCCGATCAAATTGATTTTTTCTTGGAAATGTATATACTTTCCCAAATAGGGATCTTGGTATATGGGCGACTTTCACCTCACGGATTGGAAACATTTACCAATTGCCAGGCGCAAAACTCGGCTTCGCTATAAAATTAAAAAAAATCTGAGTAATGTGTACTTCTCCTCACGAATTTAAGACTTAAGACTCACAATGGACACGTGCAAAACTCAGTTATGCGAACCATTTTTTTTAATTCATAAATTTGACTAGCCTAAAATTCTGCTATGATATAGCCGATTGATATATCCGATATGATTTCGACTGGATTGTTAAATCTTTAGGGCATATTTCCGCCTTTGGTTCGGGGTTTTAAGGCGTTCCCCTTTAGACAGACATCCCGCTATATATTTGGAAATTACTCAACAACAACAAAAAAAAGTGTCTATACTTGTAACCAACATATCAGGGAATACCAATTTTCAATTCAACTTGAGAGGCGAACTTAAAAGAAACTTTAGCTTGGACTTATAGTAATAGAAGATCTATAGATGACTTGCAGAATGTCATCCATCAATAGAAAATTCATTGATCTATTGACAACATATATATTGAAAATAGATAGTGACTGCTAAATTTGTCCAGTCTCAGGAGACAAGAATAAAAAGGAAATAGGATGCTGGTAGATTACTCCAACGGATGAATCTCCAAGATCCATCCTTCAGATGAAAACATTAAATTTGTAAGAACTGGGCCAAATCACCTCAGACAGAGTTTTTCATACACAGTATTCCTTAACTTAACTCTTAAGAGTGATCTTCAGCGGAAAGGCATTTTCAGCCTGATAGGATGCAACCGTATTAACGAGATTATGAAGGTGTCAAGTCAAATGAAGCCCTGACCTATACCCATTAAACATATGTTTATAGTTGAATTTTAAAGTTTGGAAAGAAACAAAGCCCTTCAGAACCATTCTCCAGAATATAAGCCTACTTTGCTCACATTGACGTATAGTCCGATTTCATTTGAAGCTTATCAGAACACTTTCCAAAGAATTTGTCAATAATTGTATGTATGGGGCTCTTATTTGGTAAAGACTTTTTACCCCAGAACATTTTCGAAATTGTTTTGTTATAGCCTCTCCATAGAACATTTCCTTCCGATTTTAGGTATTTTTTGTAGCAATAAATTTTAACAGTTTCTGTGATTTGTTTCCCAAGAATTGAGAACTTCATTTACAAGACCATAAACTTAATATATTCCTCTTGACGTTCCTTGATGGTAGTACTGCGTCACTTTCTCGATTAAATAAAAAAACTAATGTATTAAATGTTCCATCTCTGTATCTATAAAACTTCGTGCGCCTTTATATTTACATTAATCTTCGTCTGCGGTATTTTTAAATACAGAATTTATGGTAATAAGCTTTTGCTGTTATTCCCCATACATATATTAAATAACCATATTATGTGGACATGTGGTTTGATAACCCATATTTAGATGGAGGTTTCAATATAGTTGTTTTTATTTTCATTTTAAACTTTCCTCAGATGTTCCAAAGCGGTTCTTATCAATAATTTAATGTACCCTACATTAAGTAATCATTGCATTCGAAACATTTGGAAAAATTTACATTAGAAATAATAACATTAATTCCTATTTGGAAGTTTTTACCTACATTTTTTTAATACGGCGGACATTTTTTTTTGGAGAATTTGTTGATATGTTAGAGTCGTACGTACATATGAATATTTCATGTTATTTAAGAACTTAAATCTGACTGTAAAACTTCGTTCAAATTTGAATGGGTTTTTTTTCTGTTTATTTCTCTTTTGAGTCGTGTTGAATAATCAGCAGGTTACAGTGAAAAGAAAAAGCCACAGTGACACTATCACACACTCGACACTATGTGTTGGGTTTCGAGATTGGTTAAAATGCTCATCAAACAACCCTACTGTCTTAAAAAATATTTAAATATGGGCTAAATTGTTGCACCTGCTCTTATTATACCCTCCACGATAGTATGGAGAGCATATAAAGTTTGTCATTCCGTTTGTAGCGCCTCGAAATATACATTTTAGACCCCACAAAGTATATATATTCTTGATCAGCATAAACTTCTATATCGATTTAGCCATGTCCGCCCTTCTATCCTTCTGTCCTTCTGTGGAAATCACTCTAGCTCCGGAACAAAATGAAGTAAGTTGATAAAAATTTACACAAATGTGTGTAAAACGGTCCACGTTTTCCTTTGGCCTTCATATAGTGGTACCTCCCTATAGTCGGCATTTTGATGATTTTAGCGACATAATCTAAGAGAATTGTTTAAATTTTCGTATTTGAAGTTCGCAATGGGTACTACAATCCATGATAGAACATTTTCTCTGCAGGTCCACGTCTTCTTCTCTACAGGTCCACGTCTTCGTATAGCTCCCATACCTCCAATATTCGGTATTTTGATTATTCTAGCCAAATTTGTCAATGGAATTGTCTAAAAATCCACACACTTTACCCCCTGGAAGATAATTGTCCACGATATCCTATATCCCCCGACATTCGGTATTTTGATGATTTTAGTGACATTGTTCACTGGAATTGTTTAAAATTTCATACTTGAAGGTCTTAATGGGTACTACCCACGGGTAGACCCACGTCTTTGTAAAGCCTCCATATAGCTGTACCTCTCAGTACAGTATACGTCGGAATTGTTTTAAATTTCTTATTTGACGTTCGGAATCGGTACAAGAGGCTATGGCGGAAATTACTTATGCAGGTCCACGTCTTCGTATAGCTTCCATACCAGAGGGCTGCAACGAGTATGCAAAAATTCAAGCATACTCGGTTTCTTACCTGATTTTTGTTGATGCAGTCGTTTAGTTTGATCTGAATGAAATGACCGTTTTCGCTTCGGATCGAATCGAACGCTCAGTTTGAATCACTTCACTCACAATCAATCATGAGCGTTCGAGACGGTTTGATGTGTTCAGCAACGTGAGTTGATCGAACACATGAATGTAAATGAGCAATCACAACCGTGATTGTCTTCTTTGAATCGAGTTCGCTCAGCGTCATTGTTTATTCAACCATTTAATCAAGTTAGGACAGTTTATTTTGACTTTTTTAATATTTGAAATGGAAGAATATTGTGATAGTGCGAACGAAATTGTTGCAAGTAGAAACTACACAGGTGTAGGTAAACGAAGAGGTCGAAGTTTGTGAAAAATCTTGACCAATATTGTAAAATAAAAAAAAATATTTAAACATTTTTAGTTTTCTAAATACCAATGATGTGTTTCTTTATTAAAAAATTTAATTTTTTTTTCAAATAAGTCACTGAAGTCTAACCCACCAAAAAACCAAATAAATTTAAATACCAAATAAGTTTAAATATAATTTGCACCAATTTTTTTATGGGGGCAGCTTTTAGTTATGAAATCCTTTGTAAAATTACAATCATGATTTCGCTCAGTTTCGAACATTTGTGTTTTAATCAAATCAAATCACTCACTTAACTGGGATGAATCAAACCGACAAGACTCCTCATAGATGATCGACCCGTTATGAACAATTCAACATAAGTTCGTAAACAAATAACTCATGTGAGCTGTTTGATTGCGATCACAAAACTTCGATCAATACATGTTTGATCACAACTTTTTCGTTTGGCTTGAGTAACTCGAATGAACATGTTGCATCTGACCGACTGATTGAGTTTGATTGTATTTCCAATGTGTGTGATCAAGCCTACTCGATCATACTCATTGCAGCCCTCTGTTCCATACAATGGTTTCATTTAAGCGGTGTTTTCCGGGGTATTTTTATACCCTACACCACAAGATGGTCAGTGTATTATGTCTTTGTGCATTTGTTTGTAACAGGCAAAAGGAAACGAGATAGAC